AAAACACGTTTTTTAAAAACCCGTCATCACTAAAATCCATAATGTAAAAGAAATTAGGGTTTATTAACTGAACCCTACAAAAATAATCATGGATTATTTTCGTGTCACCTTTATTTAAATTTAACCTTTTGGCTTTCCCAAATTCGTTATCGAAGTCTCTTTCGTTTGAGCTCCCGTAACATACTGTATCCATGGTTGGTGTTCGATAGAGCTTGATTGTTCGGACTTCCACGTCAGCAATTGGCTCTGATTTTCGTTTTACCGATTCCGCCCTTTTGTGGGACTTTGAGTTTTGGGCTCTTTCGGGGTCAAATAAGTGATTATGTTCGAGTTTGACTTCATCTACCCTCCATCTATTTGATTCGATTAATCTCAATCTTATCATTGCCATACAACCTGTTCTTGTTTCTTTCCTTCTTGTGCTTGCTTCTTTCAAAGTCTTGAACCCTTCACAATTGCAACATAAAACCGCGCCTCGTTTCTCTTTGCTGTTGCGTTTTGTCCATGACGATTTTACCCTTATTCCGAATCCGAGTTCTTTAGCGTAGCAGTTGTAGTACTTGTAAGCGTCTTCATATGACTCGAATTCCATTCCCACGATTGGAGGAATGGAATTGTGCTCGGGTACGTTTTCTTGATCATGGTTGCCATTTTCAAGATCATTTCTTTCAAACTCGAGGATTTGTTCGTTTCCGTTTTCGTGTTCGTTGGTTTCGATGTCGAGGACTAACTCACTTCCGTTTTCAATGTCATCGCCTTCGATTCCAAATAAGGATTCCGTTTCCACATCGTTGTTTCCGATTCCAAAGACTTGATTACTGTCGATGTCAAGATCACCACCATCATCCTCGAGAAGTTCTTCGCTTTTATCAGAATTGTCTTCCATTTCAAATGATAATTAACCTACACAAGAAAAAGTTGGTTGTTTTTATGTATAAACTAAAAACTTTTATATAGCATACAAAAAGGGGTTGTTTACTTGTTTATGTCTTCCCTGTTCAGTAAGTGTGAGTGAATATAATCTAGATCTTTGAAACTAACTTTTAATCCCCCAATTCACTCAGGGTTATATTGTCAGTGTGTTATATGAATTATATAGGATCATTTTAAGTAGAAACAACAGTCAAGAATGAATTAGAAGGTTAAATGTTATGTTAAGAAGCAAAACCACCTGGATCACTTCATTGTCCTATGAAAATTGTAGAACTATCAAGTATCAAGTATCTATTTATAGTTCTTTAATTGGGATCTGTTGTTACTGATGAATAGTTTCATGTCATCTGCAAGAGCTGAATTTACAAAGCGTACAAAGAGCATATCCCTAAAAGTTGACTCATTAACGCTCTCTTACATAATCAAATTCACATTCTAGTTACAGTTGGCCAAAAACAATAGATATTTGCATTTTTTTTCAGCCTATATACTTTCACATCGTAAACACAAAAAAACAAACCAGTGGATGCAAACACAATGTAAATGCATATAATATAGTATGGTCTCAGTTATACTTCCCAAATTTTATCAACGATATACTTAAAGTCGGATTTTTATTGTGGGTGTTTTCGATTGGTAGGTCGCAATCATCAAAATTTGACCTTCATACCGACGAAATCAACAAATATAAATTACGCATCAACAACCAATTAATCAGACAGATTAAGCAGAAATACGAGGGTACTCGCGACCAGAGGTTTATCATCGGTGAGAATGCGAAATTACCAGAGCTAATTGTACATAAGCACTGACGAACTAAATAACTCAAAACATAAAGCCTGATTAAGAGCAGGAAGGCAATAAAAGATGTGAATTGGAGAAACATACTTTATTACGGAGATCTAGGCTCGGCTAAAGGATGTCGCCGGTCGTAGGAAGAAGGGTGCACACGGTGGAACTGGGGGAGAGGTGAGAAAAGTCGTGAGAGTGGTTTGTGTCCAAATCGGATTCTTACTTTTACCCTAACAAACAATCTTCTGCGCTTTCAGGCCCATTTTCAACTAATTAATTAAATAATCAGGTATTAATTTAACTAAAATATTAAAATAAGATATAATCATCAAAATAATCGAAGTGGGAGGTGTATATAAACCTGGCAATGGACAGGTTAAGGATAAGGATCAAACTTGTATCCCATCCAAGGAATCAATAGATACCCGACCAATTAATTTTATTTATTTATAATATTATAAATTCAATCATTATTATGTATTATCCATAAAATATTATCACATATTTATGACATTTTTTAAATCCAGTATAATAAAAAAATAGCAAAAGAACAATGGATCTTATTACACATATTCAACCAAACTCATTTTGTACTTAAATCAAATGCAACAACAAACCGATCCTTCTCTACAACATTTTTAGTACCATCTGTTTGCACATATTTGTCATCCATCCCGTGATTTACGATATAATTAATATAATTCGAAAACAAAAGTAGATTTAATAGAAGATGTAAAGATGTGTCATTCAAAAAATTCACAGGAGCCTCTTTCTTGGCGGAAACCCCGACACGTTTAAATATGTCGATCAAAACATCTCTAACCATATCGTGTCTGTATTTGAACCCAGAGAGTTCTTTGCAATGAACTGACCGAACATATCTCGTCATATGGGAATATTGTAATCATGAGTGAATATCTGAGGATGGTATAATACTCCACATGTGACATATGTTGGTCAAGTTCATCTATAGAGATAGCAAGAGAAAATCTTGAGTATGTGGATTTACTTTGTGATAGTTAAAAAAAGTAATGGATTTGATAGTTTAGATTGTTGTAATGCTCATAAAAGTAAAGGATTTACTTTGTGATAGTTAAAAAAAACAGTGTTTGGTAATATAATAACTTCTATTTTAATCATGTTAGTGATTATATCCTAAAATAATTGTAGTTATATCGTATTATATATGTAGAGTTATGTGTTGTTTGTTTTTTCGAAACGAAAATTCATAAAGTCTGCAGACCACCTCTGCAACCCTCTGCAGCAGAAGAGGTGGACTAAACAGCTGCAGTCTATAATAAGAAACATGTTTGTTTTTTAACATCTGCAGACTGCTGCAGTAAACTAAAATTTAAATAAACTAGTTTTATAAAATTAAAATAGTTTTTCAACATCAATACATTCAATGCTATTAAATACTATTTACAAATTAAATGAATTACATTAAAATTATATTGTTTTAACTAAATAATGTCCTTGTGAGTTGCTTCAAATTGCTCTTAATTTGGTGTTCCTTCACAAAATCTTGATTCAATACTAGGAACAACATTCTCTTGGCTCTGTTTGCCTTTGTTTCACCTGCTCCACAAATACAAGTGTGATTTCAAAGAGCATAACATCACACTTTTACCATTGCACTTCTGAGTACAAGCTTAAATATATCATATTTTTACATTTTTATAAATAAATTATAGAGACGTGCCAATAGCTTCTAAACAAGCCCAAGCAAAGACCATTTCACCATTTGACCAATTGCATTTGTTACTAGAGATGTACCAGGTAAGACCAATTAAAATGCAATTAAATTGAAATTCAATATTCTCTCAAACATTTCATCGAGTTTTCCTCTTAAAGTACAACCACTAGATGTAAAAAGATCTATCCCACTCTTTAGACATCTAATTAATTCAACAAAGAATGGAAACATATACATGGATGGAAGCAAATTCGTATAACAAAAATCAGATTCTCCTTGACATTCATCAAATCAAAATATCTATTTTAAGCAAATCTATATATTTCAACAAATCAGAAAAACCATTTCAGCAAATCAATTTCAATAAATCAGGAGCATTAAATCGATTATAGCAAATCAAAAATCAAAAACCGATTTCAACAAATCAGAAATCAAAAGTTGATTTCAGAAAGCAGGAACATTACGTCAGGAATCAGAAGAAAAAAATCGAGAATGATACCTAGTGTGAATGTCGATGTGAATAGGAGTGTCGATCATAGCAAAAATCAGCATAACAAGAAATCAGTTTTGTTATATCTCTGGACGATGTCAACGATCTGATAAGCATCAGTGGTGTGTCGATGAGGAAGCTGTACAATGGTGCACCGACGAAGGGTGGGTGGAGGGTGATTGTCGGACGTGCAAGAGGAAGAAGGATGTGCAAAGGAAGATGGAAAAGGAACGACGGTGTTGTTTTTTTTTTCTTTATGAGGGATAAAAGAGTTTTGAAGTGGTTCGCTGCACCAAGAAGCACACGGACAAAGTTTTTGTCTTTAGAAGCCTTCTAAAAAACAAATTGTTGTAAAAAGCCCAACTGTTGTGCGTGTTCTGCGCCGCGCAACGAAAAGAGGTTTGAAGATGATTTTTTAAAAAAACAAATGACACCTTAATTTCTCTTTTCTCTGTACTAATAAAAGAGTAGTTTTTTTGTCATGTGTTACCATGTTAGGCCTTATAATTAATATCATATCACTTGTCAATCTATTGATTATCCATTTCAAATCTCAAATTTCAAAATTTAAATTTCTTATTTTAATTACATTAAATTAATAACATTAGAATAAAATAAAATTTATACAAATTATAAGATGATATAATTTTACGTATTTATTTGAATCAACGATTATAATTTTATATATAAGTAAAAGTATCTCTTAATTAATAAGTTATTTAAAATAATTAATTAATAGTTTTGAGTTTTTACTTAGAAATTTTAACTAATTTTGTAACTGTGGTTATCAACATGAGTTATAAACTAGTCGTTTATATACTAGAAAATTGTATGTTTTTACTTGATTCATTTATGCAGTTAGTTGTAATTATCATTGAATTTTAAAGCATCGAATAATAATTAACATTTGTAAGAAATTCGTTTCGTTCAATAGTTTGATTTGAATAAATTAATCATCAACCAGTATATTGTTAGAATACTTTTATGCATGTATAATGTTTTTTTATGTCTGATTATTAAGTTTTATAAAACTTGATAGATAAATCAGAACTTTAATTTAACAAATTATATTGAAATTTTGTTTTAGAATGGATTTAAAGGTTTTAAAAGAAATTGAAATTCTAAGAAATATGTACGTAGGCGCGCGTGATCAGCTTAGCTTCACAGAAACAGAAGCTGCTAAAAGTATCAGCTGGTGGTATCGGGTGGTTATGGCTTTCTCTCTCCCCTCTCCTCCGCTCAAACTTCCGACCTCATACTCTTCATCCACGGTCAACAATCACACTCTCGCCGCCTCCGCCTCCGCAACAAGCATAAGAAACACTAGGAAAGGACTATTACTCAGACGAACATTTGTCGTAAAAGCTTCAGAAAAGGACGATGAAAACCCGTCGTTTAATCCTTTTGGTTTCGTCACTGATAATCCATCAAGCCGAAGCGCCATTCAACTTCCTGAGAATCCAGCCGAGGCCGGCAACGTCGGTCAGATGCTCTACGTAAGTATTTCCAATCACTTCAGTTTATTTCCACATATGTTCTTTCAATTATTCGGAAATCAGACTTCAATTCTTACTATTTTAGGGTTGATTGAATTACTTTTTTGTTGTTGTTGAGTAATTGTTCTTTACATTTCGAGTTTAGGTCAATTTTACTAATTGGATTGAGTTATCAAATAATGACCCTGTCATCAACGTTGCATATAAAATGGAATAGGATATCGTTTTTATTAAGGATTTACAGAAATCCTTGTAAGAATTGTATACAACTGTACTGAAACGGCAACATCCCAGATGCTTTGTAACAAATGTTAGTGGCTAATTCAATCAACAAAGAAACTGACTTAATATTCTGTCTTTAAATTAGCATTGAGTTGCTTCCATTCACAATTGAACTTTTTCTACAACGATGCTGCTAAATGTGTTAAACATCTGTGATTTAATTGTATAGAGAATAGAAGATAAGGGAAGGGAATATGGTTCTTACATCAAATCTGGAGGCTTTAGATGGTTTGTTAGAGAAACAGGTACAAAAACTTCAACAAACACACACACAGACTCAAAAACTAACAATTTTTTTGCTCTTAATATTCATGGAATTTCAATTTTGGACCTTGCAGGATCATCTGATGCCAGGCTTGGTCCACGTGGAACTGTTGTTTTCCTCCATGGTGCTCCAACACAGTCTTACAGCTATCGAGTTGTGATGTCTCAGGTTTTTTATCATCATTTTTCTACATAAATCATGTTTTGAACATAATTCCTGAATCAATGAGTAATATGAATTGCATAAACCTGTTTTTTAGTTATTTTTAATCTTCTTCATACTTATGCTTAGTTGGCAGAGGCTGGGTTCCACTGTTTCGCGCCTGATTGGATAGGATTTGGTTTCAGTGACAAGCCACAGCCTGGATATGGCTTTGACTACACTGGTTTGTAATATGAATGGTGGAAAATGAATATATAAACTTATATTTACTCATTTTTTTGTCAAACTATATAAAGTTAAGTTCCTTAAAACAATCTAACCAAGTTACTGTTGACAGAAAAAGAGTACCATGAACAACTGGATAAATTGTTCAATGTCTTGGAGATCAAATCTCCTTTCTCACTAGTGGTTCAGGTTTGACCTAATTCCCATTTTTATTTGTAGAAACTTGTATAATAATTAGACTACTTATGTGTGTAATTCTAAGGTTTGTTGACTTTTATTGTAGGGATTTCTTGTAGGTTCTTATGGATTAACTTGGGCTTTAAAAAATCCAAGCAGAATATCCAAACTTGTAATAATGAATACTCCTTTGACAGCTTCATCTCCTGTCCCAGGACTATTTCAGCAGCTCAGGTTCAAATCCTTCAACAAATATTTGATTTTTTGTTACCATAAATATAACAAGCATGAGATTCACATTTTTAACGTCATTTATTCCCTGTAAATAATATAAAATAAATTAATTTGTTAATGATCTCTCCTTTATTAACAGAATTCCACTGCTTGGTGAATTCACTTGCCAAAATGCTATAATGGCTGAGCGATTTATTGAAGCAGGTAGCGCGTACGTATCGAATTGTGCATTAATTGACTGCGAATGTGATTTACATCTCCCATAATACTTAATTTCCTAAATGTTGTGTTCTTATGAATGCTGATGTTATGACCAACAGCTATGTCCTGAAGGTGGAAAAGGCTGATGTTTATCGACTACCATATCTGAAAAGCAGTGGACCTGGATTTGGTTTGTAAAATTTCTCTTCTCTATGTTCTTTCATTAATCCAATGACTAAAAGTATATCATTGTTTCTGCATTGAGTCAAAATGAAAATGCGAGTCTGATTATGTGTATGTGAAATATATAGCTTTGCTTGAAGCTACTAAAAGAGCAAACTTTAAAGGGACTTCAGGCCAGATAGCTGATGGGTTCGCATCGGGAAGGTATGCATTTAATTTACAAGAGTATGGTTATTTTTAATTTGAAGATGGATATTAGAATCATGGATTTTGAAATTAATAAAATTTGGATACGTGGTGTGGTGTCAGGTGGGATACACCAATATTAGTTGCATGGGGGATATCGGACAAGTATCTTCCTCAGTCGATTGCAGAGGAGTTTCAAAAAGGAAACCCATCAGCAGTGACTGTGAAGTTAATAGAAGGGGCTGGTCATATGCCTCAAGAAGACTGGTACCTTGTTCTGTTTCATCATAAACTCATAATAATAAATTAATAATGATTCTAATTTACATCCGACAATTTTTTTAACTTGGTTTCAGGCCTGAGAAAGTTATTGATGCTCTGAGATACTTCCTTTGATTATGATACCGTTGTAAGTTTACCATCATTCACACCCCATAGTTACTCAATATATGTAATTATAAACCTTCTTTCACTGCCATGGAAACACTCGTCTGTGTTGTATATACATTTATCATATAATGTAATGTCTGATTGCAAAGCAGACAAGTGTCTCGAAACTTATATGACAATACAACTAGTCAGAATGCAATGAAACTAGAAACACCTCGAATGATTAATCAAGTTACTAATTAATATACGATATAAGATTCCTAAAAATACTCAAACATCAATCCTTTCATTATATGAAGATTTTTAAAGAGCTTTTGAAACAAGGAATTTTTTTTCTGAAACATACCAAAATACCTTTTTTTTTTTTTTTTTTCTTGCCATCAAAACATGAAAAAATATAAACAGCCCCAGTGCATTTTAAGTTTTTTGAACTATTTGGGTTTTGCTAAACTCGGTTCATAACTTCAAATTTCATTCAAGTTTAAACAACGTTGAAAGAGATGCATTTCTACCTACATATCCAAAACAGAGATTAGTACAGCAACAACCTCTTTCAACAAACAGCCAGAGATACACAAAAGAAGGTTACAAGTGGTTAGTTGGCTGCAAAAAACAATGGTTACAAAAACACAGGTTCTTCAAAAGACTATTTTACCCTCTTCTTGGCCTGCCTACCTGTCGGCACTTTCTTAGCTACTCCCTTTTTCCCCTTCACTTGAACCTTTTTCTCTTCTTCTTCTTCCTCAAACTCATCACCACTATCATCATCTCCACTCTCTGGTGACTTTTTCTTTGCAGGAGGCTTCTTATTTCCAGCCTTTCCCCCCTTTTGCTTCTTTTCCTTAGCACGTTTATCATCATCTGTTTCCTCCACTTCATCTTTCTCCTCCTCCTCCTCATCACCATCATCATCATTATCACTACTGTTGGACTTGCGTTTCACAGGAGTCTTCTTCTTACCTCCACTTTCACTTCTTTTCTTCCCACCTTTCCCTTTCACATTCTTCACATTTTCTTCATCCTCACTTTCATCTCTGCTCTTTTTACTAGACTTCTTCTTTCCTTGCACCATTTCTTTACCTGCTTGCTCTCCACTTAGCTTTTGCAACTCAGGTACATACGCACTAGTCTAACACACACAAAAAAAAACCAAACATATCCTCCTAAAATACTCAACCATAACAACATTAAATAAAACACCAAAACTATAAAAACATACCCTGCCTCCAGCACTAATAAACTCAATCTTCTTTCCTGCCATAAATTATGTAAAACATATAAGCTTTCAGTATAGCAACAGGAAATAAATAAATAAATAAAAACAGTAAAACAGCCAATGGCCAAACCATCAACAAAAGCCTTCTCAGGCTTCTTTTCTCGGTTATGGAAAATCCAGTTACTAGGAAACTGACTACTATCAGCCCCAACTTCAACAGCTACTTCAATCACCTGTATACGTATAACAAGTTTTTGTCAAGAATTGTTACATTAATAAAAAAACCATCATACCATTTAGATTCCCTGGTTTTTTGCCCCATCTAGAATGAAACAACCAATCAACAGGAAAACGACTGCTATCGGCATTGACTTTGACCGAATGCCGAATAACCTACACAAGTATTATTCTCCAAGATCGGTTCACACATTTGATATAAATTGAAAACTTGTGTTTACGCACCTCTTTGAGGGATTTGTGCAATGCTCCACACTGTTCTTTTGAAATGGTGGCAGCACTCTGTAGTGGATGGATTCTCGCCTGAAAAATAAACCGATTATCATGAAAACAGTATATATTTTGCTCAATATACAGATTGTAAAGAGCAAATAATGAAACCTGGTATAGCACTTCATCTGCAATCCAATTACCAACACCCGAGATAAAGCTCTGCCATTATGCATACATAGTGAATACATGAATACAAGAAATACATGATTTAATTGATGACAAATATCAACCTGATCAAGTATGAGAGCCTTGATGCCAATCTTCTTCTTGCTTAGTGATTTAAAGAGCTCCTCTTCTGTCATGGGCTCCAATAGTGCATCGGGACCAAGTTCAGATATTGGGGGTGCAGAAGCAGGCTGTTATGTAAAATATCATCACAACCATGTTTAATAATATCTCCCATAATTCATAAAAGTAAAAAAGAAGCATAGAATGTGTTGTGTGACTAGTATCGCCATACATTTTGAAGTAAGCGGACTTTTGCAAATCTCCTCTTGTCAGTGAAAGATAGCTCCAAACCATCATCTAGCTGGTTTTATAAATTAAAACAAGAGTAGAAGAGGAGCAAAGATCAACATCATGAATTAAATATGCATGTAATGTAACATGTTCATATAAAGAGGTAGTACTGGATCTTTACTTCTATAAATAACTTGGAATATTTTGAAGGCCATTCATCATCATCATTGACTGCAGACCTGTAGACAATAAACCAAATTAGGTATCAACAATGGCGTCAAGCATTATACTTGGAACAAAATCTCAGTCATCTAGCAAAAAGTTATTTTGCTGATTTGTATTTAGTAGAGATTATAATTGTTCCAAAACATCATATCATTTACATGTTTTTGATCAGAGAATCGTTTAAGTCTTTAAGAACTGCTGGTTTCTAAAAAAAAAGAATTCTGCTTACCTTTTATACTTTGTAACAGCAACACCTTTTATATATATGGCACCAGCCATTCCTGAAACACAATCACCGATGAATATGAATTGCAGAACAACAAAAATGTAAGCATTAAACACTCTAATGGTGTTTATCATGTCTGATAAGATATACATTGTGTATTAGTGTATAAGAGCATTTAATATTTTTTGTATCGACAGCCGTCAATTCACACCGGCGGATCTTCGTTATCAACAGAGAAACCAATGCTCTTAAGATAGTATGAGTTAAATGTTAAGAAATGAAACAAAGAATTAGTTATCATTTCTAGGGTTCGTAAAGTAGGTAGATGAAATATACTTACCAAACTGGAAGGAAGGAAAAGGAGGAGAATCGAGCTGGATCCACATATTCTTCCCTTTACGGTGTGCGTCGACGATTGTTTTTCCGGTGAGAGAGGCTTCAAAGTCAGAAGGTGTAATGCCGTCGATGACTTTGGCATCATCGGCAACAACCGACCGTTTAATCTTCTTTCCGAGACAGTTTTCTTCAATGGCTCTTCGAGCAGCTTCCACCTCTGGAAGCTCCGGCATCGTTAGTGGAGTTTCGCGCTCTTTTTGCCGCAGGGGTTTGCGAGAAGCAGGAGACGTAATCAGAAGATACCACGACGACATCACTCATCAGTCGTCAGTATCGATTTACAAGTGTGGAGTGAATCGGCCCATACCGCCGTAGCAGGCCCTTACCTACCACAGACTAGCCCAATAACAACAATTAGCTCCGCTCCTAAAAGCAATTTTTTAAAGATAAATATATTAGCAAAAAACCCCAATAACAACAATTAGCTCCGCTCCTAAAAGCAATTTTTTAAAGATAAATATATTAGCAAAAAACCCCAATAACAACAATTAGCTCCGCTCCTAAAAGCAATTTTTTAAAGATAAATATATTAGCAAAAAAGAAGACAACTTTAGGAAGACGCTCGAGCAAAACGTAAGTTTGAATTACGGGGTGTGTTTGGATAGGGAAAAACATATTGTTTATTGTTTATTGTTTAACTAGGTTTAAACCCGTGGAAATCCACGGGTGATAAATTGAAATATAATTATAGTTTTTAATTTGTAACAAAAAAAAATATGAAAGTTTAGAAAAAATGAAGAATAGTGATATTAGCATTAATATGAATAAGTCAAATACAATAAAGTTGTAAAAATTAATTAATTAATATGATAGATGAAGTACAATACAAGAAAAGTAAATAAAAGATGGTAGAAAAGTAAATAAAAGATGGTAGAAAAGCATTGTTTATAAATTCCCAAAAACTTCCTTATAAACGACATTGGAAGTTTTATTTGTGAGACTACCATCCTTATCTAAAATTAACAATTTTAATCCGTCCCTACTTTGGACTCTAGATAAAGCAACATACAATTGGTCATGTGAAAACACGGGATGTTTGAGAAACAAACCAACCTTGGATAATGACGTATTCCCTTAACAGTACTAACAATAATGACTGTCTTTTCCTGGATATTAAAATAATGCTCATTGTTAATAAATGTTATTTTGCGAAAGTGTATTTTAGTTTAGTTATAACAATATACTCTAAATATGAAAAAACATTTAAAATTTAAAAACATAAGTGCATTAAACTAACAATTTTAAAAATAATGTAAAGTACCTCCAAAGGTTCAAACAAGTCTTCAATGTTAGAAGGTGATTAATGCGAAGGGATGCGAAGTAAAACAATCGAGTGTTTGCATCTGTGAATCAATTTGAAGTCAATTGGGTTAATATTCGCATATGGGTTCAACATATGAATTTTTGATTTCGCAAGTTTAGAGTTCAAGATGTAACAGCCCGAAATTTCAGGTATTGTTTTTAAAACTATTTTGGGACATCTTAGGTAGGGACTCGGCGAGTTGGTGCCTGACTCGCCGAGTAGGACCTCAGACTGGGTCGCAGATTCGCGACTGGACTCGACGAGTCCATTAGGGACTCGGCGAGTCGACGCTGTTCAGCAGAAACCCTAACCGTTTCGTTTGGAACGTATATAATGCCTCTTAGGCCGTCATGGTACGTTTTTTTGGCCGATTATGAAGAACATAGCATCTGTGGACGACTAGTGGAGAAGGGAAGGTTATTGGTGATCTTGAGGAGGTTGTTGGGCAAGAAGAAGCAAGACTTTGGTCAAAGGAAGATCAAGAGGATTGAGTTCTGGAGGTTGGGGACACAGAGATCACGTTTTCAGGTAACACTTGGTCCATTTCTGTTGTTTTGATGGTGAGCACGAATCTAGGGTTTATGAAACCCATTTAGTGATTAGATAGATCATAATGTTGTTACCAAGCATTTAAATCCCAGTAGTAGTATGCTTAGAGGCCCAGGAAGTCCCACGTTTATATATATTGCGGAACCATGCGGATTGCAGGAGGCAGTTGATCGACTGCATGGCATGGACTCGCCGAGTTGTTCTTCAGACTCGGCGAGTAGCTTGAAGGTTCACTGGGACTCGCCGAGTTGTTCTTCAGACTCGGCGAGTAGCTTAAAGATTCACTGGGACTCGCCGAGTCGTTCTTTAGACTCGGCGAGTGGAGTCGGGGTGGCCCCGCGATTCTTCCACGAGGATCT